CAGGCTCCCTGGAGCGCTGGGAAATTCTCTGGCCGGGCCACTCAAAGGGCAGGTACTCCAAACATCCTGAGTGTTCCTATGCTCCTGAGACAAAACCCTGCCTGGGGCAGTGAGTGTGGGCAGTGAGGCAGGCTGCCTGACACGTGTTTCCTGTGGCCAGTTGCTCCATCATCCATTCTTGTTGGTTTTTTAAAACTGCTGGTGCCAACCAGAGGGCCTGGCATGCTTGCTCGTTGAATGACAGACTGAGTGTGTATCACTTCATGCTGAAGGGTGCCTGATTCGTTACAAAATGCATGAGCTCATCCTCACAATTGCCTCGACCTCATCCCTGGAAGGTGGGTAGGGTAGGACTGTTTTACACATGAGGTCATTTGGTGGTGGCAGCTAGGAGAGGTGGCTCTCAGACGCCAAATGTCTGGGCAATCATGTACAGGTAGCACAAGGGTAAAGGGCCCAGGTGGTGCTGGGTGTTAAGCATTTGGGATGCAACTCAAAATATCGGTGGTTCAAACCCAACAGTAGCTCCATGGGAGAAAGCTGATGCAAATCGATTTCTGTAAAGATTCACAGCCTCAGAAACCTGAGGAGGTGTTCCGCTCTGCCCTCTCACAGGGTCCGTTTAAGTTGGAATTGACTTTGCTGGCAGTGGGTTTGGACACAATTGATCAAGCGCTTTGGCAGTGAACGGAAAAGCTGACAATTTGAGTCTAATCGGAGGCACCGCGGAAGAAAGGCCTGGCGACCACCGTCCAAGAAGCCAGCCACTGAAAATTCTTAGGAGCACTGTTCTGCCGTGACACAAACAGACTCACCATGAGCCGGGGTCTGCTGTCACCGCCATCGAGCCAGTGCCGGCTCCTAAGGCCCTCCTAGGGGTTCCAGAGACTAACTGTTGAGGGAGTAGATATCTAGTGCGTCTCCCTCTGAGCTGCTGGTGGTGACCAGTTATCTCTGCGGTAGCCTTGGCAAAGGACTGAGAGGGACTTGGTTGAGAGATTCTGGGGTGGTTCTTTTTGTTTTGTTTTCTGCCTTGTGCTTCTAAATCTCGGGTAAAAAACTTTGGGAAAAACATCTGGGGTAGACATATTTCTTACCCAGGTCCCTCAATAATGTCACGACTTTTCAGCTTTTGTTGATCCTGACTCACAGAGATCCATGTGTGTGTGTGTGTGTGTGTGTGTGTGTGTGTGTGTGTGTGTGTGTAGAATTGCACGCCAAAGGCTAAT